TTATAATTCATATTTTAATATTATATCTTACTCAATTTCTTAATTTAAAAGTAAATATTAAAAAAAAACACTATTAAACATTGGTTTTTGTGTGTCACATGGTATGTTGAATGCAGCACTGGTTCAAATTAGATGTTTGTGATGTCAAAATACTAAGTCTATAGTTTCGTATGAACTAGGAACTCGTATTACCAATATTGACAAGCTAAAATATAAAATAAGAGCCTATATCTTTTCAATTTGCTATTATATTGCTCATGTAATAAATCAAACACATTGGCAACCCACTCACCTCTTTCATGAATAACCAATCGGATGTTCAGAATGTCCCCCAAGTGGCTTTTTCAGCCATTTTAATGTCTTTGGACGCCATTTCTTTCTTTCGAACCAAGATTCTAAGAAGGTAGGTTGTGTCTTTAGTTTGCTCAAAATTTCATATTTTTTTAGACTGAAATACAGCTTAGTTACTAAGCTTGATAAATGATAGAGGAATTCTATGGTATTGATATAGCAATTTATGACTTTTTGGTAATACAACTGTATATATATATAGATATATATATAAAACCTAAATCAAATTATTTTGTTTTATATCCTCCATGTGCAAAATTTTAAAAGGCTTAGCAACCTACGTCAAAGAGCACATGAGTACAAAGGTTGTAACTAGAAGAGATAATTGTTTGCTTTACTTCTCTATTTACTGTTCTATGTTTCAGGAAAAATAAGTTTAAGAACTTATTTCTAAATATCAATAATCTATATACAATGTATAATAATTGAAATGTGAGTGTATTTTACAAAATATTTGTCTACTAAAACACAGCCATAACAAGTCACTAAAGGTCAGTTCTATACTATTGAATACAGTAACATGAGTGCACATGTGCCGTGTCATTGGTACTTCTGTATTGTTAGCCAGGCATGGCTGAAAAGTCAATATAATAAAAATAATAAATATATATATATATATATTATGAGATTTAAGCTATTCAGTCTAAATATTTGTGTCTTCGTGTTATAGTCTGCAAGTCATTCTAGAACGAAAAATGCATGACTTATATTTATTTCCTAATTTTTTAATGTGGTAATGAGATCAGTCAAATCGACCAAACCCATACAGAGATTCATTACTGAAAATAACATATAAAACAAAGTTTTTTCTTAAGAAATGTTTGATAACTATCTGGACATTATAAAGACTTGGCATGTGAAATTTGAAACGTTTCTGATGCAAAAAAGTATTTTTAATCTTAAAATGATAATGACTTTGCATGTTGGATAGGCAACATACAAAAAAAAGGCACAATAAAAACATTGCTTTATGAACCTTAAGACTTAATAAAAAAATATTGATATTTTGTGTGTGAAAGCATTGTAATGTTTACTGATAATCTGCCAAATTTCATTAACATATGCTTACTAATATAACAGTTATAGCATGAAAACTATAACAAGCACAAAATGGTTACGAGATCAGAGTGCCATCTTTTTCATTTGCCGCATCTTAATGGAAAAACGTATGCAAATGTGGAAGGTGTTAAAGAGGACATTAACATGTT